TGTGTGTGTGTGTTACCTAGCTGGCTGCTCCTGTATCGTCTGATGTTCCTCACCATCTCGGCCACTTTGTGCTGCAGACAGAGGGGGAGGAGTCAGTTCCTGTCTGTGATTAATGGATGCCTGCAGTGTGATGCAGTGTGGACACTGTGGGCTCTGCTGAGAGTATCAGCATGTTAACGTGTTTATTTCAACACAGAGTCTATGGGACTCTGCCTCTGCTGGACGTCAGAGGAACTGCAGTTTTAGTGCTTCCTGTTTCAGGCTGACAAATAGGAAGTGAGAGTGTTTGAGTGAAGAAGAATTGCAGCGGCTGTAACTGTTATTTCCTCTTCATCACAGCAAACAACTTCATGCTTATGTATCAAACTCGAGGCGAGCAGGCCACCTCCGGCCCGGCGTACATTTATGTCCGGCCCGCGAGATCATTGCATATAGATTTATTATTATTGATATTCATGTCCCGGCGATATGAAACGCTGAAACACACAAACTACAGATCTGATGATGCTGCACTTCACTATGCTCGCCGAGCGCTAGGCTACCTGGGAACGTTAATCAAGTCAAGCTTCTGTTGATGTACAACCCTACTGTAACGTTACTGTGAAGCTAGCCCCTCCCACTGGAGATCAGAAATCAGAGCCTTTCATGGTACAAGTACATGGTTACAGATAAACCCAACAAAACGCTGAGTAGTCTCAGGAGCTCTGAAAGAAAAGTGTCAGGACTTCTTTAAGTTTCCTTGAAAAAGTTTCATCTGAGAAGCTTCTTCAGTTCTAAGAGCAACGGGTGGAGCGTCCCCAAGAGGGTCATGGGCCCCCTGTTGAACCTAATCACATGAGTCAAGGTGTGGACAGAGGTGTGGGTCACAATCAGTTTCAGGTGAAAAGGACACAAATTTTATTTAGTTTTCGTTTGCAGCACATTCATATTTCTAACTTCTCTAATTTTGACTGGACCAAAATATTTAAAGTTTAAGTTTATTTATTCTGGAATAATATTCGTCTGTTTTTATTCGTATTTATCTTCAAAAACATTTCATTTTAGTTCAATAAATGTTTATCCTGTTCGTCCCGCGACCGAAAGCATCTGAATCACAACATTTAAACTCTGAGCTGGTTTTCAGGTGCGAGCGTGACGCCACTCACCATCTTCTCAAAGTTGACGAGATCACCGTGAAACGTTTTGCAGCTCTCGTGAAGAAACGTCAAGTCTGGCAGGAAAAAACGAGACGTCAGCCGGCGAGTCGAGGACACAAACACACAACGATCAGTGATACACACAACGATCAGTGATACACACAACGATCAGAGATACACACAACGATCAGTGACACGTGTTTTTAAAGCAACATATTAACAAAGGAGAGAAAAACAAAACCAATAACATGAAACCTGATTAAGGAGATAACGGGAAATACAAAAATGAAAGAACAAACGACCAAAACACAGAAACCGGGACAGCGATCGATCACGTGTTAATGTGCAGCGCTGTCATCACCACAGGGGGGCGCCGAGGGAAACCAAAAATATCAGCTGTAATCCCAGATTCCTGATTTTAACTCCATCTATGGTTCTGTTACCATGGAGACAGAGAGCTAAAGGCAGCACACACACTTCAAAGAGTCGTCTTCTTC